GCAGCGTGCGGCCCTCGGAGCCCTTCCTCACCCGCTACCTGCTGGGGCCGCACAAAAACCTCTCCAAGACCCAGGTACTGCGGGCCCGGGGCACCTCGCACCCGCGCCTGGGTGTCTGTATTTGTGTTTTCCTTGCAGTACGCAGGTGCTGGGGTTTACCACGGTCTTTTCCCCCCCCCCAGGTGTTCAACGAGATTTACCCGGTGTGGACTTATTCCTACCTGGCACTGCTGTTCCCGGTGTTCCTGGCCACAGACTACCTGCGGTACAAGCCCGTGGTCCTGCTGCAGGGCCTCAGCCTCATCGTCACCTGGTTCATGCTGCTGTACGCCCAGGGACTGCGGGCCGTCCAGTTCCTTGAGTTCTTCTACGGAATAGGAACTGCCACCGACGTTGCCTATTACTCCTACATCTACAGCGTCGTCGATGTCAACCTGTACCAGAAGGTCACCAGCTACTGCCGGAGCGCCACCCTGGTGGGCTACACGGTGGGCTCGGTGTCCGGGCAGGTCCTTGTGTCGGTGGCAGGATGGTCCCTCTTCAGCCTGAATGTTATCTCCTTAACCAGCGTATCCATTGCCTTTGGCACAGCGTGGTTCCTGCCAATGCCACAAAAAAGCCTTTTCTTTCATCACGTCTCAAGTCAGCAGCTCAGTTGGGAAATGAAGGTCATGGACTGTAAAAATGGATCAGCTGTCCAAGATCATCCCAACGTGCAGAGGGCACCCGGCTGGGAGGATGAGACAAAAGTTCCCTTAAACGGGGAGGGTCATTCAGCAGAGAAACAGGTGAGTTGTGCCCTGGGTTTACGTAAGTAGAAGGTGCAATACTGATGTGGTTGTCATGCATACATATGTGTATATATGCATGCACATGTGCATATATGTACACAGCAGCAGAGATGTAATATGCGACAGCGGAAAGTATCCCTCTGCTTATCCTGCTTCCTTATTTATGGCACAGGAAAATTTATTCCTGGCTTCCTTTTGCTGATTGAGCATGGTAGGCGGCTCCCTAGTTTTTCTGAAGTTGTTCTGCATGTCTCACAAAGCTGTGATTAAAATTCTCTGGGCATCAAATTGCCATTCAACAGTACAAAGCAAGGGACATCTCTGGGGCGCTAAAACCTGTGTATATGTCCAAATTCTGTGTGTGCTTCTGGATGGACCCTGTGACTTGCAGAAAAGGGGCAATTCTTCCTGCACTCATGTTTTGAAAACACTTGTTACTTCAACTGTTGTGCAAGTTGTGCAGTAATAGGCTGTGTAGTAATTGGGTTTTATCTTATGATCCTGGAAGGAAACTTCAGTAGCCCTTGAGAGCACTGACAGGCTGTCGTTGATTAATTACAGAAGGACCGAATATGGATAAATCGCAGGAAACACCTTTGCATAATAACAGCTTAATGCAGCCCACAAGAGCGCCAAGGTAGTGCCCCAACTTGTGGCTTTTGTCAGCTACGTAACCTCTAACAAAGACACTCGTATGGAAACAAGCGTGCAGGTGCCCTTGTTCGGTGGCGGGACGTGTTGGGTCCCACGAGGTGCCGAGCAGGCAGCCTCCAGTTCTGAGGCCCGATGCGTGTGTGCAGTTGCCTGCTGTGCAGGTGTCTGCCACGCTGCTCCAGGTAATGCACGCGTACGGAGAGCCTGTCGTGGCAGGGGGATTCAAGGCCCTGGGGAGAGGTCAGCCTTGCTCCTCAGTCATGAGGAGGTTGTGCTCGTTCTGAGAACAAGCCAGAAGGTAAGCGCGCTGTTGGTTTAGTCAGCTAATGGGTATTTCACTTAGCAAGTAAGCCCCAGTTAGCTGGGTCGGGGGAGGCAGCGTCCGGGGCAGCTTTCAGCTTCTTTCAGCTACAACTGGGAATTAAAGGTATTAACATTCCAGGGACCTAATCCTGCCCCATCCAGCACAGTCTTGTATGAGCAAAAGTATTTTTAACTATGTTATACTTCCATGCTGAAGGGTATTTAAGACAAATTCTGTGCCAATAATGACTAAGGCATTAATATCACTTATCTGTCCCTTTTTATCTTACTCCCATCCTATGATAGGAGGGGTGGTTCCAAACTAATGGTGAATATTTTAAAAAAGGAGCAAGTACACTTGCATAAGTATCCAGAGTTCAGTTATACCAGGTGCTAAAAACTGAGGAGTATTGGTGTGTCAATGTTATTGCTCATGGAGAATAGTCTTTCTCAGGCACATACTGCATGATTCCCCCAGGGAAAGGGCATGCTGCCAAGAGCCTAAGTTGCTGCTGCTGACTGGAAACCACTCCGAAACTGGACGTGTGATGACACAATGTGCAATAGCTCAGTCCTGTGACAGTGCTGTATGTTTTCCTGCAGGGAATCCAAGTTCCTGGGGGCTGGAGGTGCTGGGTGGGCCTCAGGGGCTCTGCCCAGTCTCACATGAAGTAACTGCTGTTCTGACTTACAGAAGAAGGGTCTCGCCTGTCTACAGAGACTCTGTACACGTGTGCATGCAGCAAATGTCATCAGCAACTCTGTCTACAAAGTAAAGACATACTTGTTTCCTCTGCTGCTGTTGGCATAAAGTGGTTAGGAACAGGGCTGTAACAGCCTGTATGTAAAAAGCAATTTTTGTCGTCATCACCTGTTGCTAGAACTGATCTATTTTCAAATTTTTTTCAAACCACTTCATGGGTCTGCCCTCTTTCGTGCACTTTCTAGAAAGATTTGGAGGGGAAAGCTTCACTTTTATCTCATGCCATTTATGAGAGCACTTGTACATACAGGAGCTGCCATTTGTGATAGCAGTGTCTGGTGGAAGTAGCTTCTGTTTCTCTTCAGATCCCCAGGCAACGTCTCTCACCTTCTCAAAGCCTTGGCGAACATTAACAGGGGTAGAGAGCAGCATAATGATATTGCTTCTTTGAATATTTGTAATCCCTACTACTAAAGAAAATCAACTTATTTGTGGGGAAATATACTCATCTGGTGGCTTCCATGTTCCCTGTGCTACCAAATTTGGCTGAATTTGGATCAGGGCTTAAAAGTGTCATTGATGCTTTTGCCTTTATGATTTCAATGACTGGTTTCTGATCCTGTCTCATCGAAGTGGATATCGTGTCCTCTTCTCTTGTGTCTCTTCTCTCTGGTACCCTTCAGTTGCTCACAAAGTACTTCTAACATCTAGCAGTTACTGCTCTCTGCTTGAGACAGACAGAGATCGAGAGGGTGCCTGGGACTGAACCATTCTTCTGCACCTGAGGGGATGGCCCTGGTTAGGGCAGAGGCTAGCTGCTGGGACTGTGGCGTGGGGAAGCTTTTTATTCATTACTCTGTGGAGATTTGTGTCCAAGAGTGGTACTGTCACTTGCCGGTGATCAGACCACTTGAAAGGGGCAATTTTGTGGAGCAGTATGAATATTTGTAAACAGAGACTAACATTTCTCTCCCCTTCCTTCTCCAGTCTGTGCGGGAGCGGAAAGTAGACATTGTAAAGGTGCTCAAAGATCTCTGGCGGGACTTCCTGCAGTGCTACTCCTCCCAGACCATGCTCTGCTGGTCCGTGTGGTGGGCGCTGTCCACCTGCGGCTACTTCCAGGTCATCAACTATGCTCAGGGTCTGTGGGAGATGGTGTTGCCTTCTCACAGCACGGAGATCTACAATGGTGCCGTGGAGGCAGCCTCGACACTGCTAGGTAAGCTGCTGGCATAGCTCCCACTCTGCTGTGAGAAATGCCTTAGGTCCCTCAAGGTCACCAGAGCACAGCTGGGAAGTGTTTTGCGTTCCCCCATGCATGCAGGACAGGCAACCTCGGCATAGAGGTGAGTCTTCAGTGACATGCACGGGTACGGTACTCAGTGATGAGTTCGTTGGTGCATGCAGTCCTGATTCTTGTAAGGCGGTGCTTAGGTGTTTAAAGGAGCCTCCCAAATCAATCTTCATTCTGAAATATTTGGCAGAAGGCTCAAGGCATGTGGCTGACTGTGTGTTCTTGGCTGTCACTATGGCAGTGGGGTTACGCTTGTTTTAACTGCTCAAGGTCAAGCTAAGGGTCCTATGGGTTTATTGCTTTTTGTTCCTCTGGCAGCGTAGGGAACATATGAAGGTTTCCTGTACACGCACAGCATGCAGTGAGCCACATTTAGTCATTTCAGCACTCTTAAGCAGAAAAGCTATTAAGATGAAAGAAGTTGCTTGACTTGAAAGGGCCGTGTAGGTCAGTCAACACAAACATTTGTTTATTAAGTTGTTTAATACTGTTCCATTACCAGAACTAGGACAATACCTTTTTAATATAGCTAAACCCTTGCAGAGGCTTTCTAGGTGTTGCTGCAGTATGTTCCTTTTTGATGGAGTCATCATTCCACCATCTGCTGTGGACATCACCTGCCTGGGGGCAAAAGAAACCAAGGTACACAAACAAGGAAGGCTTAGTACTTTCTTGGGCATCCTCAGCCCCCTCTTGGAGTTCAGTGGGAAGCCGTGGCTGTTTTATAGTTCTGAAAGCTGGTCTACCACCCATTGTTAGTTGGGTTTGAAACTGCCAGCAACTTGATTCTGAAAGCTTTGGCTATTAAACTGTCTTTGGTGTGCTAAACCTGCACTTCAATAGTATGCAGTCATATACTGTTCCTCCACTCTAGCACGATACTGTGATGCTTATTTCTTGTTTGGTTTGGCTTCCTCTACCACCCTGCCTTGGTCCCAGGAAGGAGAAGAATCAGTATCAAGGGAAGGAAGATCCATAGCATGGCCAAATGTGGGCAGATTTAAAAAGAAAAAAGAAAAAGGAGGAGTATTCTTCAAACCTTATTATGAACATCTTTGATATCAAGGTCCTTTTTTTTGTTTGTTTCAAAGGCCTGTGAACAATGGACCTATTGGAAGAAAAGGTGGTTGGCACTAAACTCATGCAAAACCGAAGTTTTTAGTTTCCCATTTTGATTTTTTCCTCTAGTATCATTTTTATAAATGGTTGAATGATTTTGGGCGGTGTTTTCTGAAAGCGAATTAGCCTCTGTCCCTGAACAAAAAACCCTTCTGGTTGACACAGATTCGTTGCTTGGAACAAGTGAAGTTTAGTGAAGTAATAATCTCAACTTAAAGTTTGAAGTGTATAACAAGACTGGAAGGGACTTGTTAAGGATGAGCATCCAGTGACCCGACTTCCTAGGCACTAGTGCAAATGCTCTACTTCTGATTTCCAGTTTGAATTTATTAATGAGCAGTTTATTTATCTCTGACTTCATGCCAAGGCTGTATTTTTAGCACAAAATTGTCTCATTCTGGCCTATCTGTAGATACCTGTTCTTTGCTTTGGGCCAAAGAAGCCAAGCTTTTCTAGTTGTTCTTTGGTAAAGTTAAGCTCTTTGTTCACTTTGTCATCTTCCTAGCCTCTCTTTCTACCAAACCTGGTTTGAGTTGCATTCTTTTTGAAGACTGATGACCAGAGCTGCGCTCAGCTTTATTCAGTGAGGCCTCAGACTTGTAGACGAACATGAACACTCTTCACTTTTCTCCCTTTACTAGAAATACCTTTCCTGGTGCATCCCAGATCTGATTTGCCATCATCATGGCTCTTAGTCGTTCTGTGCTCAGTTAGGAGCAATGTTTGGCAACCTTCCTGTAAGATGCTGTTGCCATCCCTGCCTGTACCGGTGCTGCCCTGCAGAAGGGTTTGAGTATAGAGCGCGGTGACTAATGTGGTGACAGCTTCCTGTCCCAGGCAAGATAAATAGTATTCCTTCTAGTGAGGTCAACTGACTGTTAAGCTGCATCCCTGCACCTTCCTGGGAATGTGGCGATCCTTTGTCAGGTTGGGATGTGAAACCACTGAATCAGCTGTAGGTGTCTAATTGCGGGACACAGATTGTATATCTTGTCATAATTAGGTGTCGGGCTGCTATAACCTTGAGACATGGGGGGAATACAACTTCATGAGTTGCCATGAGATCCCCAGAGAGTGACGTCTGTTCCCAAATTTCAGAATTGCTGAGACAGTAGAAAGAAGGTTCTAGGACTTAGATTCTTTTTGCATCTCAGGGTTTTGCTACTGGGGGAGCCAGGCTTTCAAAGAGCAAAATGTCAGTCAGGCAGTGTCACAGCAGGCACTGGAAAGAGTTTAGTGGGGGGAAATAAATTCCTTTTCCTTGGCATAGCTACCTTCTTCCCTAGTCTGCAAGGTTGATGTGAGGTCTGACAGGGTTGCAGGCTTGTACACATTGGTGGTACATAAGGAGTCTTCATGTGCTTGAAGGATTTCTACGATGGCAGGCCAGCTGAGGGCTACAAAGAGCTTAGATGTTGCACTGTAGCGCTTCTGTACAGTGGTCAAATGCTGAATACAATCCTGTTTTTCAGAGACCTCCAGTAAAACTCCCTTTGTCAGTATGCTGTTTGTCTAGTTTGCTGTGTACAGCAGCATCGTTATGCTGTTGGTTGCTATTTGACTTGTTTGCAGAACAAGGCCTACTTCAAATGGGAATTTTCTTGTAATATAATATGTATTTGGGCTTCTCAGTAGTTACAGCTGTGATAGGGCATGAAACACACCTCGTCTGCTTGTTGACTTGCATGAAATATCACACGCTTTCTGTTTTGTGATCTGTCTTCTCTCCCCATCCTCCCTTCGTAAAATCCAGCATGAGTTACAAACCTGTTCTGGCTGTAAAGGATTGTTCTTGCACAATCAACAACACATGATTGCAGCTTGTGATTAGGTTGCATCTTGGGAGACGTGGATTTGGACTCCTGTTCTTACTTACTGTTACAGCCCAACATGAAGATGACAGTAGATGTAGGTTTTTCTGCCTCCAGGGAGAGATCTCTAACAGCCGTGTATCAAAGTGGATAGTGTCTTCCTCCCTCCTGACCCCCTAAAGCACCACAAAATTATTAGCTGAGTGCTTTTGAGAACCAGGGTTCGCATTTCTCTGTAGCCCAATTGACAACACTGCTATGGTCAGGTGCAGAGGACTGAGTGGCAGTGGTCTGAGTCCTGGGGCTGTTGTGCTTCTGAAGCCAGGGGGGGAGACTTTAGAGGCAGTCAGCATTAACTTTTTTTTTTCCTGTTCCTGTAAAAGTGAATGGGAGTTTACAGCAGGTTTCCACGTTAGGGAGAGGTCAGGAAGGAGAGTTGCTAAGGTGTCCTTAGCACGTTAGTGTCCTCTGCTTCAATCATGTTTGGCTATTAGGGGCTGTGCAGCTTCTAATACACAGTCTTCAAATTGCTCTAATTGTTATAAGTAACAGTTATGCTTTCCTTCCCTTCACAGGAGCCGTTGCAGTGTTTGTGGTGGGTCACATAAAAACATCCTGGGCAATGTGGGGTGAGGTGGCACTTGCCCTGTTCTCCTTTCTTATCGCTGCTGCTGTATATATCATGGACACTGTTTGTAACATCTGGGTGTGCTATGCATCGTATGTTGTCTTCAGAATTATCTACATGCTGCTAATCACAATAGCAACGTGAGTAACTTTTTAATGTAAATTGTTCTCAAGGTTACAGCTAGTGTGAAAGCTGGCATATTTTCCATGTAACTAGGGTCTTGCCTACCAGGAATTTGGAAATCTGTTGCAAGGGTTTGTGTTGTGATTCAGGTTGGAAACTGAGGCACAGAGCTATATTTGGCTGGCAGCCTGCCCAGGCTCAAAAGTCTAATGACACTGAAGCGACTATTTCTAAATACTAGATAGTGCTGCTTTCCAAGGGAATGTTTTTCGTAAACAGGGCTGGAGTGAAGTGTTAACAGATGAGGAGAGGACAAGGCTTTGCCTGTGTTGAAGTGTCAATTTTCCCTAACCTGTAAAGAGGAAAACTTCTTCGATGTTATTTGTCACTTTGGGGAGGAAAACACAGCTATTGTTGAACCACACATACATAATCACTATAACACAGCACAAGCACAATATGAGGGGAGATGCTGAAACTGATAACTGCAAAAGGAGTTCTGGTCAGAAGGATGTGGGAGGTTATGGACCACAGGGCAGTAGGCTGATGCTTTGAGATTGCCGACAGGTCTCTGGGATCAAAGAGTGCTGTGTCTTCTCTGTGTGACAAGGCCCTTTAGCTGCATTGGACAGGAGCACTCCTTCAGCAAGACTGAAACCCACAGAGCTCCCAAAGGTTTTTTTCGCCTTTTAGATGTCTCTGTGGGTCTCTTCTAGCCTCCATGGTAGTCTGTCGTGATCCTATTTAGAGAAGTACACTGTCAGTGTGAGGTAATTTAGCTGTGGAAAGTACTGGACCAGTCTATGTAACTCTTCAGGTTGCATAGTCTTCTTGTCCAGAGATGTTCCTCCTATTTTTGCATTGCCTTGCTTTTTCCCCTATCCTTACGTTTCTGGACATCCCTTTCTTTCCAGGTTCCACATCGCTACAAATCTCAGCGTGGAGCGGTATGCCCTGGTGTTTGGCGTCAATACTTTCATTGCCTTAGCACTTCAGACTCTACTAACTTTGATTGTTGTGGATGCCAGGGGGCTTGGGTTGGACATCTTCACCCAGGTATGATAGGCTCTTTTAGCTTTACTGACGGGAGGGAGTAAGGTAAACCAGGCTGTATAGCTTTTCAGCTACCTGTTTCTGAGTCAAAGGTTTGCTGACAGAGAAATAATCACCGATTCCTGGCATTTTATAAGAGGAAGGGAGCTCGTGTATTAACCTTCTTGCAAATTTGGTAACTGCTTGGTTTAACCACTTTTTTTTTTCTTTCCCCTTTTCTGCAGTTCATGATTTATGCTTCTTACTTTGCGGCCATCTCGCTGGTGTTCTTGGGCAGTGGCATATACAGTATTATGAGAGCTTACAGAAGGCAAGAGCAGATGCAAAGCAGATCTCCTGAAAGCCAGTAGTGCACCAAGTGAAGACTCAGTGGCTACATACGAAGATAGAGGTCTGGTTTTTTTTTAATCTCTGCCTTTTCTTCCCAAGGCAGTCACCTTAATGGTATTTGATCCATATTTATACTATATTAGTAGCACATTTTAGAAGGTAAACGTATTAGCTCTTACGTAAGTAAGAACAAATACCTTCTTTCTAAAATGCCTTTTGTTCTTCTGTTGCATATATGGGATGTGCAGCAAAGAACAGCAAGTTTTCTTAAAGAATGAAAGCCTTGGGAGGTTTTAGTCTAAAACTGTGCATCTGGAGGCTGCCATTGAAACGGCAGCTTCATGATTGTCTAGTCAACCGCTACTCTCTGTCACTGAGATGCTGCTGCAGGGCAGAAGTGAGGGCACACTAAGAGGCCTCTCTGTGGAGAGCCCCAGGCCTGGGACAGGAGGTGGCCTTAGGCCTGTGCTCTGCAGCGTGGCTCTCCTGTGCCTGCCCTGTGATGCTGGATGCTCCATTTTGAGGACTAGTACAATTCCGTTTCTGCACATGCACATGCTTCCTTGAGTTGCTTGTACTGTTTCTGCTATTCCTGTCTGTCACCCCTGCTGCCAGCGTTTTCACCATAGCTGATCATGGTGCTTTCCCAAAAACTTAACTGTGGCCTGGGGCAATTTGTGACGCTGGTGAATTGGCTAGCAGTGCTCCTTTTGCCATGAAGGCCTGTGCCCAAGGGTCTGTAAAGCTAGAGGGGAAGCTTAGAGGGAGTTTGAGTAGAGGGACCCTCGGTCATCCTTGCCTTTGCCCTTTAGGACTGCAGATTCCTGTGATTACGGGAGTCGCTGCCTCATAATCCTGGGGGCTGGGCTATTTCAGTGGGATGGTGGATGTTAGTATAGCACTGAGAAGGAAAGTGACTTGCAGGATTTTAAGCTATTCTTTCTGACCTTGGAGAATCGTGACTCTGGTGACTAAATAGACACCTTCAGTTATGGTAGTTAGCAGGATGACTGCCTGAGGCTTTGCAAAATGCTGATTTCTGGTCTGTCAGTTTTTCCCCTTTTTTTAGAATGCCTTTATGCTTCTGTTGGGTCTCTGTCCACTAGTTCTACGTCTTCTTTCCACCTAAGCAAGACAATGAATGTTTGGAGTGGGCAGCTCTTTCATTTTGTCCAGTCTAAGCAATTTGGGATTTGCCTCATACCTGGTTTTTAAAAATAATTTATTTTTTCCAAATTGCTTCAGCACTGGGAAGGAGTTGCACAGAGTTGTCCTGGGCTTGGGCACCTGGATACTCAGACACCATGACCAGTACAGCAACAGATATCTGTAGTATACTGTGGAAATGGCCTATGGACTGTCCCTGTTGCTGTGCAGATTGTGGTGAGTTTAAGTGTACAGGAGAACTGTCAAGGGAGAAGATGCAATGCAGTGTGCTTCCCTCCATACCTTCTATCTGCGTGCTGGTTAGAGCTTCTTCCAGTCAGAGCCTGAAGAAGCAGCTTTGGTTCATTGCTTGCTTTTAGTGCCAAGGAGACTTCACAGCATTGGGGTTGGGAAGGCTTCTCTCCCCTGGCTGGGACAGGTAGGGCCTTTCTCATCACTTCTATGAGCCTCAGCCTTTACCATGTAAGGTGAATGATTGCTGTGTTTGGGATGTGCTGCTTGGGGTCTGGGTAGCCCTTCCAGGCTGGCTGCTCAGGGGAACCCACTCCCCAAAGCTTCTCTGTGTTGGCAGCCTGCCTCCTAAAACATCCCCCTAAATGTAGGAGCTCAGCTGTACTGGCATTTACACCTGTAAACTTAACTGCCTTATCCTGAAATGGAATCTTGAAGCCACCCATGTATATATTCCTTTCTTTGCTGTTTTTTGTTTTTAAAAAAATAAATTCTGAAGCCATGAAATGCTAGCTGACGAGCTGTCCTGTGAAAGGGATAGTATGTGCACATCCTGCATATCCTGTCCTTTGGGTTCCTTGGTCTGATGGCATTTGCAGCAAGGCGCAAGGAGTGGGTGTACAGTACTCGTGTCAAGTGACTGAAAGAAGCAGCTCAATTTTAATCACACTCTTCATAGAGAACAAATCTTTGATGGGGAACAACCCAGTTATTTAAAAGCAAGTCAAAAATTAACTAAAGAATTACAGTAATAACAATGATTTTTCTACCAAAATAATGAAACTGCGGCAACTGCAATAGAGAGGCATGCTACACTGCGTACGTCTTCAGGCCTATTAATGTATGGAAGCCACACCTGGATGTTGTTCAGGTTCCTATGCTGTGCTGTTGCTGTGGTGACTGTAGAGCCTGGCTGGAGCTGTACGCAGAGTTACTGATGCCTATGAAATTATGTAAATGTGTTGACATTGTTGGTTTCTAATTGAATAGCTATTTTTGTTAAATAAAAATACTCTGAGTTATCCTGTGTGTGGCCAGTGTTTGTTTTGTATTTTGATACCTTGCTAATCCATAGCACTGCTGCTGCAGTCGACTAATGCAGGTTGTTCTGAGCATCTTTGTTACAAAGGAGGGGGGGAATACAGGTGTCCTGGTTTCAGCAGGGATAGAGTTAATTTCCTTCCTAGTAGCTGGTACAGTGCTGGGTTTTGGATTCTCCACCGGGGCAGCAATATCTTGCCACAGTGCGGCAGCCCAGATGGGTTTGCCTCTGCGCTGCCAACTGCTCTGCTTCCATTGCTGCAACCACCCCCACAGGGCATTTGCCATCATCCATGAGGCAGTATAGAGACAGAGCACTGGCCACTTTTCTCGGTCAGCAATGTCTAAAGCCAGCTGGATGGCCTTTACTTCCGCAAATTGGCTTGATTCACCTTCTCCTTCAGCAGTTTCTACAACTTGTCGCATGGGACTCCATACAGCAGCTTTCCACCTCTGATGCTTTCCCACAATACGACAGGACCCATCAGTGAACAGAGCATACTGTTTCTCATTTTCTGATAGTTCATTATACATTGGGGCCTCCTCAG